TCACTTCTTCCGTGCCGTTACACATCGGTTCGTCAAAGGCTAGAAGAGACACTTCGATAGGAAAACGTGGATGGAACTGGACCCGTTTTATATGAAGTTCAGCAGCTACCATAAGGCCTGTCAGCGAGTGGCAAAACTTCATGCGCTTTGACAACAAGAACAAATGGATCTTGGTAGTCAGCATGTATCTCGCCCCGTTCAACGGTTCGGTTCGACTGGCGAAAGATTGTAAAGAATCCAACCTGGTGAAAAGCCTCCATCTGGTAAATGGGCCCAAACGTTCTTCTACGTTGCCTGATAAGTGTCACCAAGATCGGGAATGACAAACACATGCTTCCATAAGTACAGCTGACAAGGAAGAAGTGAAAGATCTCGGACAGGCATTGGTCCAAAAGTCCACCTGTGCATTAATCATTGGAGAGTTCAAGGCCGCAGTCGGACGAGGAAGAATCGATAAAAAAAATCTGTCAGTACATATGGCACCGAAGAGCAAAATGAGTGAAAAAAACGAGTGACCATGGCAGAAACAAAACATCAGTGCATTAGCAACACCTGGTTCAAGAAGAGAACCAACATGGATCGCATCAAATCGGGGCTGACATGGATCGCACCCAATCCAAAAACGAGATCTACTTCGTCCTGTTTGATAAACGCCACATCATCAGAGATACAAAAGCAGTGTCATCGTTTTACACCGGAAGCGACAATAGAGAAGATCAAGAAGAATGAACCGCAGATGGCAAATTACAGACAACAACCGAAGATATAAGACGAGACGCTGGTTCAAAGGCGCATTTCCAGCGAAGATCCGTAGTGTGAAAGGCAGCTGCAATGATAGTAACATCCGTAAAAACTTTCGCACCAAGCGTTTTACATCACAGACACAAAATGCACCATCGTTCCAACAGCCAGAAGAAAGGACACTCATATTTGTTTTCATAAGCGAAGTTCAGCATGCCGCGTAGAGAATGAACAGTAAAAGACGATCTGACAAGAGAAATCATCAGAGCATGTCGTTAGGTTCTTTGGAAGGTTCCACTTAGAATCAGTTGCTACTAGAAACGGAAACGGATACCGTCAAGCTGGAAGGAGTCAAAAACAATCCTTGAAAAAGGGCGAGAAGGTAAATTTCAAAAACTATCGCTTAATTTGCCTAATGGCACAAACATACAAAGTGTTCAATAAGATCATCACCAATAGAATGTCAACAAGTCTCGAACAACAGCAGCAAAGAGAACAGGTAGGATTCTGAAAGAGTTACGGACGACACAGCAGAGCACAATGGATAATATATTTACGAAAATTTAGCGCATCCAACGCGTGAGGGAATTGTAGCTCCATCGGTGCACAGCTTTCATCGACTACGAGAAAGTGTTCTACACTGTTATCTACAACACAGCGATGACTGCGCTCACAGAACAGGGCATCGAAGCTCATTACATCAACCTGCCAAAGGAAACGAACCTGGTTGTTTCACAAACATCATGCTGTTCGACAGTCGTAGAGAAGGGCGCGAAAAAAGGGGACATTATCTTGCAAAAACTTTTCACGGTCTGTTTGTAATTGGTATTCCAGATGATGAAGTAGAAGGGGGAGATTAACATCAATAGTGAACAGCTGGGCTATCTAAGGTTCGCTGAAGAAGTGATCTAATTTATGGATGACGTCATTCAGCCATAATAAGTGCTTCAAGAGCTCGAAAGAAACATGGCAGAAAACGCTGGGAAAATTAATTGGTGAAATACGAAAATGTTGTGATTGAAAGCCCTACTGAAGACTCAGGTAACATGAAACGAAGAAAAGTTCAAAATGCCAATAAATATATTTACCTAGGGTAAGAGATCTGGCATATGGCATGGTGAAAATAGAAAAATTCAGCGAAGGAAGAGGGTCGGTTGGGACGAATTCCGTTCCATTCAGAAGGTCATCCTGAAAAACACCAGGAAAAAAATCCGCGCCTGACCACTTCAATGCTGCCGTCCTGTCGACACTATTATGTGGTCACGAGAAGTAGTCATTCAAAAAAGTCGAAGAGCACCCGCTCTCTGTCATCGAGAAAGAAGCATTTTGGAAATTTCAAGTAGTGGTCACATCCCCAATGCGGTGATCAGACAGCGAACGCCAGTGAAGGAAATCGTCGGCGAAAGCAGAAAGGAGAAACTACGGTAGAAAGAACCAAATAGCTCCAACATTCACCGGCGAGAGATGGGCAACAATGATTGTCGATTGGTACCACAGCGGGCGGACTAGGTCGCTTATTCGTCCATCACAACGATAGGAAAATATTATCTGAAGCCGGAGAGCCCGAGATGGAGAAGAAAGCTCAAAACCACAATGAACTGTTGCAGCTGGCGCTATTCGTCGCTGATTATACGGTAGCCAAAATGAGGTCAAGTGACTAAGATTAACACTGGCAACCAACATGCAACATTCCCCTATAGGATCACGATACCAGTCCACAAATTACATAACTGACTGAACTGACGGACGTGCTGTTTGACCATCTGCGACTACAACAGAAGATAAATCATCCGCGTGGTTAGCCTGAGGGACAACCAGTAGTTATTAGAAATTATAATCTGGAGTCCATTAGACCATATCAATTTCCTCAGAGTCAACAAGCAACAATGCATTTTCCTTCATATTTTATTATATAAAACAACAATAATTTGTTGAATATATTTAAATGAATAAAAACATTATGTATGAACGCATTATAAATGAACCAAAATCAGTAACTTACTACCAAACTGAACTCTGTATCTTATAGTCTCACTCGTATTCAAGGAAAGAAAGTACAAATCGATGAAGGGTAAATTTTCATATAGCAATCACCATTTATACTTCGTCATCTCTGTCGAGGAAAACGCAACAAAGTATATGAAAATTACAGTAAACGAGTGCATGTCAAAACGAAAATGGAGGTTGGTGTTCATCGGCTTCCAATATTTGTCAGACATCCAGCAGTGTTCCACTAAAGAATCTCTGGAAATCGCGACTGACAAATTTTTACATGCCTTTTACTGTAGTTCCTTCTAGGAGATGAATATTTAGATTACAACGGACATCGTAATCTTGGGAAACGTAATTATTATCGACAAAATCAACAATTACTAAAAACAGTGACCGTTACAAATGCTGAAGAGATGTGTATAAAACTTCATAAGCCACAAAATTATACAAAACCAGCTACCTCTGTCATTCCGGATCTACAAGAAGACTGAAGAGTGGAAAGAAACGTGAGTCCGCTGTCCACATAAATTTCCAAACAAAGCATGCTGAAATCGTTTGTTCACGCCTCATACTCTTTTGACCAATGACGACTCGTTAGCAATACAATTTAGATTTGCACGCTATGCGAAAAGAGAAAGAAAATCAGAAGAGTAAGAAGGATCTAAAGACTGGGGATGGATCCAAGGCAAAAAATCCGAAGGAAGATCTCAAGGATTCAAAAAAATGGAGAAAATATACGAGCGCATGCCAATGATAAACACATCAGAAATAGCGCAATAATGCTGCAAAAATTTTTGCATTCATTGGTCATCAGTGTTAGCGGAGGAACAGATCCGTTAACAGAACAGTGATATATTCGTATAGACAACATTTCTTCTGGATCATGAATAGTCTGGAACTTGAGAGAAACAATCGAAACCAGAACATTTTACCAAAGGCAAGATAGGCGATTTTAAGACTGAGATGAAGAATCAAAAGAACGTTAGGAAACCCTCTGACTAGCTTGCATACAATTAGAATGAAAAACATTGTCCTAAAGGCCGGTCTTATGCATAATCAAGAAAGAGGGGCAGATCTGCATTCCCTTATGGATGCTGTAATAACTGAAATAGGGACATGACTGTATCATGTTAAAAGGAGGCTTTATGATTCTCATATTAAGATGTTAAAAGGTTAACAGTACAGAACACACCGCAAATTGAAGATGAGATGAGCTGCCAGTGCAAAGCCTACAGCTGGACATCTGAAACCACGAGTACCTGCATAGTAGGTGTAGCAATATTTTCTGATCCGGTCATCAGGATCTCCCGGAGACGCGGAATGCCAAGTGTGACGTTCATTTCGCCGCGACCGGCAAAATGGAACGTGTTCAAAGTCATCTGCGTTGATGGTTCGCCGATGCTCTGTGCGGCTAAAAGTCCAACCGATTCGCCCGGGTCAACCAGCGACCACAACCCCTTCGCATACATCAGCGTCACGAAATCGTCTACCCTTCATAAAGAAAAATTCAGAAACTGAACGGTCGAAAATAACAGGCGACAAGCAGTACTTTTTGTCAAGTTTCAACGACATTGCGAAATCATCCACATCGAACAGGAACGACTCGGACAGACAGCCGAGATGCCTAACCGGCTGTAGTATGGACATAACGGGATCTGGACAGTACGTGCACAGGCGTATCTTCGCATTATCGGTTAAACACGACCACTGATCGATGACCTGCT